TGGTCGAGTTTGCTGGTATTTATTTGACTTTTTATGTAGCTTTTTAGTGTTTATTTCCCAATTTTACTTGTTTTAGTTGATTGGTTATTATACTGTAACTCATACGTGAATAAATCGGTGTTTGGTAATAGTCCAACAATGCTGCAAAAATCGCAGGTACAGGCAGCCATTGAAATCACACATAAGCTTTTTCCATATTATTACAAAACTGAAATCTTACACTTTCCCCATGTCATGTAGCTTATTCGATATCACGTAAAAATCAATTTGAGACGAGAGAGAGACAGATATATATATATATATATATATATATATATATATATATATATATAGAGAGAGAGAGAGAGAGAGAGAGAGAGAGAGAGAGAGAGAGAGAGAGAGAGAGAGAGAGAGAGAGAGAATGGGTTCAGCTCAAATCTTTCATTTGTATTCGTGAAAATTTCATATTTAACCATAATTTTCTAAGAATATACACTGCAGTCAACATGATTATGTAGTAGGCCTAGCATAGTTGCCGGTATGGAACTTAATCTGAAACTGCGGCATGCACAATGCCATAAGCTTCTCTGGCTTAAGGGATGTTATTTTTTAGGATCGTTGTAGGGTTTCATGTTTTCCCTCGTAGGTAGGCCTATAATAGCTACGTCCTATCACGATGAATATAAAGTAAGCTGATATTTCTTAACATAATTCTTCTTTTATAGTACTCATTTATATATTAGTTGATCTTCACAGAAAATGGATAGCAACATGTTATAAGGGAACTACATGTTAACGTTGTCCTTAAGTTAACTTCTTTCAAGAGTAATGTATTAACGCTAAATTCCATTTAAAGCTAGCTGCTGATGATGGTGACATATTCACAATTCGATTAAATGTCGAACTTGTGTTCATTTTTTTTTGTAACATTGCATAATGGCAGTGCCGCTGTGAGTAATCACTGGATGCATATTTCGATCGATTTTATATCTGAAAATTCAGCATTGAAATCGGTCAGATCATTACTCTAGATAATGATGCGTCAAGATTGTATATCAAACGTCATGGGCCATTTTGCCGTTACCGTTTTTAGGCGAATCTAAAAATATTTAGATTTGTGTCGTTTATGCATTGTGACATTTGGCCCATCGTGTTTGAGTCTGTTATGGGATTCATGGTTCCTTTTGGCACCTATTGCATATTTATTAAAGTGGCATCAGAAATACCAGGTAATATCTCAAACTGACAGGCAGATAAGAAAAGTAATTTATAATTAAAGTGATTTCAGCATCAATTCACACCAAATTAATTTATAAGAACGATGGCGACTGTCTCTTTGAACTCATGCATATGATATGCCGACTAATCTTGTTTATGGCTACCACGCCATTCAAAACCCAGTTGTTATATTATGCGTAGCTGTGGCTTTTGAAAAAGACACAAATGAAGCTAAATTAAACTTCAATTAAGACAATGAATTCACCAAAAAATATGAATTTAATCACTTTGCTCCTCCCGCTGACCTTCATCCCTTGGACAAAGTTTTTATGCAGTTGATCATTTTCTTACTTGACCCTCTGACCCCCATCAAACAATTTCCACTCCCGGGTGTAAGTGCGGTGGTTTCAGGTAAAAGTGATAGATATTAATTATGCGTCCACGAACCCTTGTGGCTTCGAGACTAATCGAGTCCTCCGAAACCTTTCAAACAAGCCAAGCGGCATCCGTGTGATGAGGTCGCATTACATTGTATTATCTGGGAGATGGCATTGCGTTTAGACCCAGTACCAGGAGACCCTCTGATGATCAGATCGTGTTCCAGCTTTGCGAGAAAATGATACATCAAGAGATCATCGTAATTTGGAAACCCTGGGTGCAGGTGGTCTCCACTCCTCCATATTTCCTTTAAGTAGAAAGGGATTGCGACCTGAAGCTATAATTTACAAGATCGGCAGCACATCTAATATAATTTAAATCCCCATCGTGCCTTCTCGTCTGGCTCACAATACGTTTTATTTGATGAATACGGATAGGTCCGCCTCTTATCTGAAATATGTCTATTAACGGCATTGAATCACAAAGTCTAGTTTTGATCACCTTTGTCTTCCCTACCACCTCTCAAAAGACAAACTACGCGTGAAAATTGCCAGGGAACCCATTATCACATACCGAATCTCACAATAATTCAAGACTTTTTAGATCGGTAATGGACGAATTAAAGCATAATTCTAAACTGTCTGGAAACGATAGAAAATTTACTCCGATCCAATGAAACCTTACGTCCAGACAACTAAAGACCACCTCCTTCACCATGCGTTGGTAACAGATCGTACATTCAACTTTCGTTTACGTTTTTTTAACGACCTCAATCAAAGGATTTGGAAGAAGCAATTGTCGAAATGCACTGTGTGCGCTGTCCATCGTGGACTATGGGGCTAAATTAGGAAGTTATCTCATGTTGTACACACCATTTCTGCAGTTCCAAAGTGTCTTTTGAAAGGAGTTCGCACAGGACAGTCATGTCTCATACGTCTCGTGCATTCTCTCGCAATAAACGTTGAGCATGTGCATATTAAAGGATCTAGATTGTATCAAACCTCCTCGACTATATGGTTAAAAGTGATAAAGCAAATCTATTCGCTCTTTTTGCTGAAAGATGATCTATGCTGCCTCACAGTGAGTAAAATCGATATTAGATTCAGCGCTTTTTCTCTTTCATTTTGTGAGCTGCTGAAGTACAGACGACAGTGAAGGGGATCAGGAAACGACAACTTGAACGATGTCTCATCTTGACCGTTCTGTTTCAAGAAGACTTAGGGAATTGGAAGGTTCATATACGTCCCTGGACGTGTTGTGTTGAAAAAGTTAATATAAACTCTAGGATTTACTTTGAGAAGTCAACAGCCTTGCGACCCTAAGAGTTTTGGTGGAGCGGAGGTACTTAACTAATAGATTTTTTTGTTTGACTCTTGTGAAGCGCGTCTCAGTAATCTTCGTTTGATTACTTAGATTAGATTAGATTAGATTAGGTTAGATTAGATTGATTAGATTAGATTTGATTAGATTATCCTTACCTAGCTGAGCGTGTCAGGCGCATTTAGTTGTATTTGAGCAGACACCAATGTATTGTAAAGGTGGAGGTCGAGGTTTATCTTAGGTAATGCTTAATGAAGTTATACTTAGACCCTGATAATCAATCTCAACAGGTTTTTACATGGCAGTGACTACCAGGTCTACTGAAACTATAACAGCGGCGTGGTTGTGAGTCAACCTGATACGTTTGCTTTTTCATGAAAATTACCTATTTTCGGGGAAAAATGTCACTGATTGCAAATAAACCACTTTGTGTTGAATCCGGAAACGCAAACTTTACGTCACTGGTGAAAGATGATAAGTCCAGAAATGAAGAAGAACTGGAAACCAATTTGTTGACATGGAAGCAAATCACTGCGTAATTGATGTTTTCCACAAATGGAAATATATTTCATGACAACACGATACATGTTTTTCTGTTCCCATTCGTCAAACTGCAAATAAGTCGTCTGCACTGCCGATAAAATGACAGAATAACAAGCGTGCCAGCGTGCCTGGCAGCCGTGCCTGGTTTTCAGCCCAAAGTGTACATGGACGAAGGATGGGTTTATATTTGGCTTCAAGTTGATCACCTCTCTGAACAACATATCATAATTAATGTCATGTACGTGTGAATGTGTGAGTGTGTGAGTGTGTGTGTGTGCGTGCACGTGCGTGTTTGTGTTTGTGTACCCATGAGAGCACCATTCCGTCCCCTTTTACTAGCAATTAGACGTATTCAGTGGCACTGTGTAGTTAAGCTTTCACGGTTTACAGCGTGACAAGATTTGTTGGCAGCGCGTGACAGGGATCGCTGAGGATTAGTTATTTAGCACAGCTACTGCATATTACCCTCTATCATTCGTATCTTCAGGGAGTTTGCAGAAAAGCATTTGACGCCCTTTTGAATCGTGCAGGTATCGACCCTTATGTGATGATTCAGGCGTATCAGGGCGTGATGCACAAGCATCTACAAAGGTCTGTCAAACCTGTCTAGAACTGACGATAAGTAGCTTTTGTAGATACTTAAATATGCCTGAATGTAGGAAGGTTTTATATAGACACACGTGAGATCGAGCGTGATTACATGTCTGTCATCTGAGGAAGAAACACGAAGATGAAACCCTTAGTAACAGATTCTGAGAATATGAAAGGATCATGGAGATATATTGATGTCGTGTGGCACTGAACCTGGCAAACAATTCCTTGAAAAACAATACGGTGTGTGAACAATCTTTTTTAAAAATACAGAATTAACGGGAAAAAGTGAAAATCTGCACTTTTGCACGTTTTCATTTCCAATTGCTCACGTGAAATGAAGTGCGAGCGGGTTTCTAAGTAATTTAGTTGTGCTAATGTGTTTTAGGGTAAACGGGGTTCAAAACGATTATATTTTCGTTAATTGGTTTTATTTTGAAGCCACTGGTCATTTGAACCTTATAATCTCTCTCATTACTATATTTCATTTGTATGAATTAAAAAAAAATCAGATGCACTTACTGGGCCATGAATAATGGCGCTTCACACCAAGAACTGATACGCGTAGTTGGTGCGTGCATGGAAACATGTAGAAACAAACATTTAGTCTCATTTTAGTGTTACATAATTTATGTAATTTTTCAGCAACAAATCGGATTTTGTTGTAGAAACCTCCGAGCGTTCAGCGTTGCCTCTCATCTGTTGGGAACAACCCATTATAGAGCAACACGTCGTAGTTAATTATTTATTTGATAGATGTTTCATTTAGGACAACGAATTTTGATGCATTGATATCTGGAGCAGTGCGTAATTAGACTGTGATTGGTTAGCACATAGCGAGCTGCGCCTTCGTAATAGATTAAGAAATCGGCGCTCTTGCCTTACATTGACAAGGGAAGCCGAGAGGATTGTATGCACTTTCGCTTTTTTGCTTCGAAAGACTATCAACCCATTTTATCTTATTCTTTCAGACACGGATCACGGATGAAGCCGTTTGGAATGTCCAGTTAAGATTTGCACCGGGACTCTTCTGAACGGAACCCCAGTGACCAGACACCTATTTCACCGTTGAAAATGGAAGAGAACACATCTTTAGCGTGTGTTAATAACTGCTCGACCACGGAGCCACTAGTACGAGGAGTAGACGTCATGAAACTGCCTTGGCTTAGAAGTATATTCATTTTGTTTTACTGCGTTATATTCCTTTTAGGGGTAAGTGGAAACTCATTAGTGGTCTTTGTGGTCAGCAGGAATAGACATATGCGCACTATAACCAACATATTCATTTGTAACTTGGCCATATCTGACATCCTTATGTGTCTGCTGGCAATCCCATTTACGCCGATGTCATATTTCATGAATACGTGGACATTCGGCGACGCCATTTGCAAAATCGTACCCATGGTCAGCGGTGTTAGCGTGTTTGTGTCCACCCTAACGTCGATAGCCATTGCAGTGGACCGTTACTTCGTTATCGTCCACCCATTTAAGCCGCGGATGAAGGTGTGGCTGTGTTTGTCACTCATTTTGGCCGTGTGGGCGATAGCCATAACGGTATCGATGCCGATAGCCATATACCAGCAAGTGAAATGGGAGGAGAAAATACAGGCTTTGGAATGCGGCGAAGAATGGCCCAGAGATTCGGCGAGACAAGTGTTCACTGTCGTCACCATGATTCTTCAGTACCTTGTCCCATGTATAATAATAACATTCTGTTATTCCAATGTATCCATGGCACTCCACGAAAGATCAAGAGTGAAGCCCGGCCACAAATCCCGTGAGCGCGAGGAGCTGGAAATAAAGAGAAAACGAAGGACAAATAGGATGCTGATCGCTATGGTCGCCATTTTTGTGTGTTGCTGGATGCCGTTGAACATATTCCACTTGATTCGCGAGTATCACGTTGTGTCGAACACGTGGCCCCACCAGGCGCTCGTTTTCTTCATTGCCCATGTTATTGCGATGAGCTCGACCATATACAACCCCTTTTTGTACGCATGGATGAACGAGAACTTCCGGAAGGAGTTCAAGCAAGTTCCTCCGTTTGTATGCCTTCAGTCAAACCTGTCTGGTCGGAATGGCTGCCCAACGACCACCCGTGACACCACGATGTCCGTGCTACGACAATCCCCCATAAGGGACGGTCAGTTGCTGACGGAGGCAGGAGACCCAGAAGAGAAGAGCGACGAAAAAGAGAACGGCGATGTGCATAACGGGGACTGCGAGCTGCAGTGCTTCGTACGAGATAAGGCTCATCATGATTCCGTCAATTCGGAGATGGAGGAAACGGATCTTTAAAAAAGCGTATAAAGAAAAGCTATTTTGGGTGACTTATCGATGAACTGCAAAGGCACATTTGACATTGTTTTTAATAGAACTGGCAACAATTCAACTGTAACTTGATATACGGGACACAAAAGTGAGATGAATGTTTTGAAGAAAGCTGGGGACTTGACCCATTGGGCACTGTTATGTAATCAAGATTGGGATGGAGAGGCTGGTTGAATAAACTGCATAGGGTATAGCTTTTGGGCTGTTTTCGGTGGTTGGAGAAATTACAAACCTTTGAATAATGAAGTAGAACATTTTGATTAGGTATGTGCGCTGAGCAATTAGAACCAAACTGCATAATTTGTCTAATGCAACGGGCGCGTGGCTTTGAGTACAAGACAGATAAATGTAGTCCTATGTAATGACTGTCACTATAACTGATGAGTCGGTTGTAATTCAAAAGCACAAGCAACGGGAATGAAAACAGAGTAAGCAATTTAATATGTTCTGTACCATTGTTATTTGTAATAATGCATTCTCAATGTAAAATATTTTTACGTTCGTATGTAAAATGTGGCTTTGGGTCCGTGGAAACGCACAAGAGGTAGAGTACCGATGGACTTTTTGTTATTTCAAGCAACATTATTAAATACAGCAGTCATTTAAGTAGTTTCACGGACATTCCACAGAAAGCATCATTACGGAAAACATATCGATACACAGTAAACTTATTTGAAAGCTTTTTGAGCAATTCCAGATTGCGTTTATTGGATGATTTAGTACGTTCATTATGCATAATGTCATAATGTCATGTTTTACGGATTTTTTGTAAGCATATTAGTTTTAGCATGGTTTGTAAGCTTATGTTATCGGAATACAAAGTGTTTTATTCATTAATCAGATTTGAATAATTGAAAGACATGTTGTCAAGTAAATATATTTTGTATAGTTTGTCTACAAAGGGATTTTCAATTGCCAAGACGAAGTGCCCGAAGTGTATATCTAATCAGAGTGACGAGCATTAGATAGTTTTTAAATTTTTAATGTCTATTAGCGTCTAGCCAGAAAAGCAGTATGCATTTAATGCGCACAGGCACACATCTCGATAATGTTACGTTTTGACTTTTCTTTCAGCAAACTTTGTGCAAATGGGGCATTGTCTCAAATTTCTACATATCTTTTCCTTTATTTTCATGATGTTTTACTTTTGGCTGGTATTTTGTTCCTGTTGTAGTTTTTTTTACACATTCGTTGCGTGCTGTATTCACCAAACCAGACCATTAAGAATTTGAGTAATGTGAAAAACTTAAACAAATTAACATAACTTTACTTGGTAACTGTGGGCACGATGGCAGCTTCTAAGTTGAAGATGAACGTTTTTTCCAGATCAATGTGTCTCTTGGTGTAGAATCGTCTTCGTGTGAGTCTCTCTGGCTACTTCCCAACTGATATTTCATGTTTGAATGGTGGATACATGTATTATGAGAAAAAAAATTACAATATAACAGAAACAGCTGTTATTTTTTGTCAAAAATGTTTATTACAATTTTGTATTGTCGAAAGCATAATTTTTGTACCCAGAGAAATACGCACCTAACATATCCAGGCACGTTGGTGTTTGACATAGTAAGACGCTTTCTCTCAGCTGTTGTTGTATATTTGTTGCAAAAGAACAAAGTTACGTATGGCTTTGTCTTGTCTTTAACGGAGGTTTTACTACCTTGGTCGTGAGTTGGAAATACACTTCTTTAGTAGAGGCGTATAAGAATTGAAAAAAGAAAACGAATACTGAGAAGTTATAAATATAAGGTCTTTGTCGTGGCACTGTTTCACGTTTTTCATTTGATATAGATATTGGAAGAGTTGGCTGTATTATTGTTACTTTATTGTATTATTTATCTTTCGGAGGCCCCCTGTGGCCTGAAAACAAAGATGTTTTCATTCGGAATCAGAGACAGTCTAAGAATATATCTGAGAAGGGATGATATCTCAGCAGACGGATATCATTTCCAAACAAACACAGCGGCTCCCCCGTTTTTAAGCGGATTATCAGCATTTTGATGCACAGTATGCTTATTAGTATCGCTATTGGGGTTTTGTCTTAACTTGTCAAGCTGCAGATTTATTTTCATTTTATGATATCTCCCATTAATGAGTTGTTACCAACTACCGATACGATGACTTCATCGTCATGTGTTTTTCTGATAGTTAATCAATGTTGGATTGGTATCGTTCTTTGTTCGATAATAAAGACGGAGTACAGTGAGTTGATATCGTTTTTGTTCAATAATAAAGACAAAGTGTAGTCAACGTTAAATCGTTCTTTCTTTAACATTATTATGTTTATGGTTTGCTATCATACACTACTTGAGTTATGAAACCTGGCATCCGCATTAATATGAAATTTAAAGACCGAGTATCCGCCTACGTGTGCCTTTGTACGCGTGTTTCTTGCCATTTAGATAACTTGTTACAAGCTGAATGATAGAACTACACTGGTGGTTTACGGGATTGACTGTTTTGAGGATAACTAGTTTGGCAGTTCCGTTAAAACACATATCCTCGAACACACCCACCCACCCACCCACACACTCACCCCC